CTTTTTTTTTTTTTTTTTTTTGGTACCAGGGATCGAACTTAGGTCCTTGTGCTTCCAAGGCAGGCACTGGAACCACTGAGCTAACTCCCCGGCCCTACTATACTATTTTTTAAAAGTTTTTAAACATTCGCTGTTTTCTCATTCATATTTTGATCACCCTTTGTATATTAACCTCACCTGACAAACAAGAAAATTTAGGCACAGATGGGCGTGGTGGCACATATTTGTAATCCCAGCATTCGGAAGGCTGAGGCAGGAGAATTGCCATGAGTTCGAAGCCAGCCTGGGCTACACAGTTAAGTTCAAGGCCAGCCTAAGCTACACAGCGAGACCTTGTCTTAAAAACAAAACAAAACAAAACAACAACCCTACCACAAAAAAGAAAACAGGCTCAGAGAGGTTAATAACCTATCCAGGGGCACACAACTGGCAAATTACAGAGCAATATGTGCACCCGGGCAGGCTGGGCTGAGTCCATCTTCTCATCTGCCAGCCTGTGCTACCCTGGATTCCTGCAGACTGATGGGTTTCTCCCTGGTTCTACCCCTCAGAAGTAAATGGCACAGAGCACCAGGCCAGGCCTCAGCGGGGTCTGATCACCCTGTGTCCAAAGCCTCAACTGGCGCTCCTCAACCTGACACCCCGCCAAAGACCCCTGGCCATAGTGCTGTGCTCTGGGTGGTACCTGGGGTCTCAGCCAGTGGCGATCCACACCTGAAAGCCAGATTCTGAGTCTTCTCCCCTCTTCTCTCTGCCAGGCTTGGGCAAGGACATCCTCCTAGCCTGGTCCCACATCCTCCAGAAGCCTGGCTATCGAGGACAGCAAATTCTCCTCCTAGCAAGGGTTTTTCACACACATTTCGCTGTGCTCTTCCACTTGGTAGAGGCTTGCCCAACCCTTTCATGTAGGGGGTGGGGGTGGGGGGTGCCTAGTCAATATAACTCCCACCTTTCTGCAAGAATTCAGGTCTATGGGAATAGAAGCCAGTTTCGACTGCACAACCAGAGCACCAGTAACTGAGACCACTAAGATGGGGCGTGGGCCCAAGCCTGGTCCATCACAAACCTCCCTGTGCACAAGGACCTAGGAGGGGGATCAGGCAGTGGCTAGTGTGGACATGTGGTATGGACCCTCTGCAACTGAATGGAGAGGTGGAGGAGGCATGTGCCTCGGGCGAGAATGCAGCAGACTGAAAGACAGAAGAGACACAGGGCCCAAAGCTGCACACGGCTCCCTGCCTCCACACTCATGCAGACACTTGCATCCGATTCAGAGGTCCTCCCCTGGCTTTCCCGGGAACGCTGCTCTGTAAGGACTTCTCTTCGCCTTGTCCACCTGCCCAACCCCTCTTCCCTCACACCCACATTTCACCTGCTCTGAAAAGCTAAGCCCTCCATCTACCCTGACTTCGCTTCCCGCTGTCTCTCCAGCCTTAGCTGAGTAACCTGAGCACACGTCTGCCGGGCTCTCACTAAGCCCCATTTCTCATCTGTAAAGCCGGAACGGCAAAACACCACATGCACTGAACAAGCGTCCAACGTGCTGTGACTAGAGCCTGGCGCACAGGAAGTGCTTGCCAAGAGTAATTATGGCTCTGCACTGTTCTCTCAGCAAGATTAGCCCACCTTGCCAGAGTACCACCTTTGTCACCCCTCACTCGTGACCCCTATAACCTGGCTTCAATCTGAACCACTCAAGTGAAATAAGGTCACCAATGGCCTGTCCCATCCGACACTTCTGTCTCACACCTCTGCAACCTGATGAAACAGACCACTGCTCCTTTGGAATGTATGCTTCCCTTCATATTCAAAACACACTCCCTGCTTTCTCCCCTTCCCTCATCACAGCTTTGCCTGCCTCCTTGGATTCCTATCCACCTCTTACAAGACCGCCAGGCTTTGGCTCCTTCTCCCTCAGGTGCTCCCATCGACATCCTTATCATTCTCAGGTATCTACCTTGTTTCCAGCCTGTGCTTCCCAGGATCAATATAGGATACAGCTGCCAATACTTCTACCTTGAGGTCCCAACGGCATCTCAGATCCAACCCAATCAAACTAACTTCACCAACTTTCTTCTTTGGGGCGGGGGGGTGGCGCAGTACTGGGGATCAAACTCAGGATCACATGCTGGTGAGGCACTGAGCTAAATCCCCAGCCCAGGTTTCTTCTTAATCCTGGTTCACTTTCCAGTGTTCCCTTTCCTTGTAAGGAGCTTCCCCAAGTTCTCTCTCTCACCCTTCAATTTTCTCTTTAAGTCTTCACCCTCCACTTCCATTCGCCTGCAGCTCACTAGAACCACCCTATGTGGTCCCTGCACGCCCCACCCCCCTTTTTCTCTTTTTTGACTGGGGACTGAACTCAGGTCCTTGTGCTTGCAAGGCAGGGGGCAGAAGCACTGAGCTACATCTCTGCCCACCCCTTTGCTGCCCTTACCTTATTCGCATCCTGTCAAATACATTTCTTGTTTGGAGACAGGGTTTGCCCTGCAGCCCAGGCTGGCCTCTAACTCTCAGTGATCCTCCTGCTGAAACTAAGGCTCACAGCCAACCACGCACTGCCTCACTTCTTCTAACACCCCATGGCCTTCTTCAAAGGCAGATGTGGCCATACCCCTCTCCTTCTGGAGCAGGGAAAGCTACTGAGACTGATGATCTCTGAGCTCCCTTGGCCTCACAAGCTCTTCTGCTTCGATGGACTCAGAAGAGGCTGAGAATATGAGGTTTCATTCGACAGACTCAACACATCTTGTGGGGTCTGAATTTGAGGAGTGTGCACCAGTACTAGGAAATCTTCCTGTGGTTCCTGCCCAACTTGGACCAAGGATGCTCAGTAACATCCAAGGGGAGCTCCCATGGAAGCCTTGCATATCTCTGAAATCTTTTTTTTCTTTTGTGGTACTAGGGATAGAACTCGGGTCCTTGCACTTTCAAGGCAGGTGGCATAGTAGCAGAATTTACTGGGGAATAAGAATAGCTTGTGGGCCAGGGATGTAGCTCAATGATTCTGCCGCCTGCCTCGCAAGCACAAGGTCCTGAGTTTGATCCCTGGTACTTTAAAAAAA